AATGAAACACAGATAGACATTCTTCTGGTATTCCCTGCTTTCAGCCAAGATCCATCTAACATCAGCTACAATATCCCTAGTACCACGACCCCTTCTAAATCCAGCCTGGACTTCTGGCAGTTCTCTACTGACGTGCTGTCCCAGTTGTTCTTGGATAATCTTCAGTAGAATCTTGCTTGCATGTGGTATCAATGATATTGTTCTATAATTTCTACACTCTGTTGGGTCACCTTTCTTTGGAATGGGAATAAATATATTAGACATCGTAAAAGAGCTCTTTCCAGGCTGCACGGTGTGACAGGCATCTCCCAGGACAACTGGCACGAGCACCAAGAGAGCAGGGGCAAGAGAAATCCCTCCCACAAGAAGCAGAAGTATGAACTGGGAGGCCATGCTGCCAACACTAAGATTGGCCCCTGCCGTATACACGGTTTGTGTAAGAAGAGGCAACGAGAAGTACCGGGCCCTAAGACTGGGTGTGGGAAACTTCTGGGGCTCTGAATGTTGCACTCACATGCCTCCAATAATGAGCTTGTCTGAACCAAGACCCTCATAAAGAACCACATCGTGCTCATTGACTGTACGTACTGCCAGTGGTACAAGTCCCACTACGCACTGCCCCTGTGTCACAAGAAGGGGACCATGCTGACTCCTGAGGAGGAAGAGATTTTAAATAAAAAGCAATCAAAGAAAAGTCAGAAAAAATATAATTAAAGGAAAAGGAATGCAAAAATCAGCAGTCCTCTCGAGGAGCAGTTCCAACAGGGCAAGCTGCTTGCAGGTATTGCTGCCAGGCCAGGCCAGGGTGGTCGTGCAGAGGGCTGTGTACGAGAGGGCAAAGGGCTGGAGTTCTATCTGAGGAAAATCAAGGCACGGAAGAGCAAGTAACTCGCCCGCTTCCCATTTTAGTACATGGAAAAAACAAAAGAAGAAAAAGTCATAAAACAAACCACAAAGACTTTGTCCCTTTGAGAACTAAGGCTCGCATGACCCAAGTCACAGCATTTTCATCATCTCACATGCATGCAAAAGCTGTACAACGAATGAGGAAGATTGAAGAACTGACACATCTGAATGGTGGTGCCGGCGGAGAATATTTAGTATACCGTGGACTGCCTGAAGAACACACGTGTTTGTGAGCAGTGCCAGCAGAAAGAGGGTGAGACGTCATCGCAAATACTTCGGGCATTTTCTCAGGAGGGACCAGTGACAGATGGAGGACATCACAATTGGAAAGTAGAGGGTCAGCAAAAGGGAAGGTGCTCCATGAGACAGACTGACACCATGGTTGTCCCATGAGGATGACGAGGTCTGGGCAGTGCCTTCTGTTGAACAAGTGTCACTATGAATACGTTGTACGTGAAGTCGAAGCCTAATCAACAGCACCTAACAACTGCTCCACCCCAAAGAAGGCAGACTGAACCAGGGTCATTTTACTGTGGGACAGTCTAAAGAGGAGGGTCGGGAAATTTGCCCAGGATCACAGAGTTGGCACGTGGTTGCACCAGTATTTGACCCCACGCCCACCTCCAACCACTATGTAATTAAGAACGACCCAGCACCTAAACCCTACGTGCACCCACACCACCTCCCTGCCACAGCAGTACTTCCTACCTCGGAAGGACTGAGTTTGCCTCGGCGAGAAGGAATTTAGAGTTAAGAGCGAAGTCCTGAGCATTTTAAATGAAAGAGGGTACAAGAATAAGAGAGCTATCTCCTCCTTATACGTGTACTACTGAAAAGGCTGGTCGCTTTCTTTGAACGAGGCTTATCTGTGTTCCCCAGAAGGGTACACTGAGACCCAGCTTCTCTTTCTTGTTCCCTGTGCATTATTCTTGGAGAATCACTCCTGAGAAATACACAGTGCACTTCCCCCCGCCCCCTCCACTGACTACAGTCAATGACCTTGACAAAGTGACAGAAGCAGCTGGAAGATGGCAACCTGTGAAGAAGAGCGCGAGTTCTGTGGGGGGTGGACCAAGCACCAATCCTGGTCCTACCAT